CCTTGGGCAACCTGGTCTAGTGGGAGGTGTCCCTGCCCATGGCAGGGAGGTTGGAACTCCATGATCTTCAAGGTCCTTTCCAACCTAAACCATTCTATGATTCTATACGCAGCTCCACTTTTGATGGTGCTATTGTGGCTTTCAGCAGCTTCATGACCATTTCCACTGGTGGAGCTTCTAACACAGAGTTAATGCTGGTGGTCACCTTTCTTCTGTTGGGAGAGTTCTTGATTTTTTTCTCTAGAAGTTACAAGTAGTTATGTATAGATATCTTTAATTGAGTGTAACGAGGAGCAGATGTTCATTTGTCTTGAGATACACTTCTGTTTCATTTGTGTGTTGGTTTCTCAAGCCAACACAAAAATATCAAATAGCTGAATTCAGTGCTCGGATTTGCTGGCCACACCTGGTAGTGGTTAGAGACTGTTAGAGCAGTGTACAGTCCTGTTTGAGGTAAACAGGAATTCAAAGAGAGGTTCATGAAATTTTAAGTACTGGTAAGGACGTGCAGCAAAACTCTATGGATCTTCTAACTAGGGAATCATTTCTTCAGTGTTAGCTAGAAGAGCCGATTAGGAAGATCATCCTAATACTGGTTTGATTTTTTTCCTTCCTCTCTGAGAGCTCTTGAACATACCCGGCATGCATTTCTTTGACTTTTATTTCGCAGTTTATAACAAGGGAATTTGAGAGTTTAAAATTTATTGTAGTTCTTTTTTTTTTTTTCCTTTCTTTTTTTTCTTAACAATTTGGAACATTCTGGTATATTAAAAAAAGAAAAAAAAGTGGGGGCCAGCTGTCCCTCCTGAAGTCGTGCCATCTGTATCATCTTTCTGGCTGAGTGTTCTGTCCTCTTTTTCCTGTCCAGGCAAATCCTCTGTAGAGAAATATGTCTTTGTGCCTTGGAAGCAAACCACATCAAATGGAGGATCTGATAGATAGCCCTTTCTGCTTCTTAATGCCTTTATCTCTTTTCCATGTTTCTTCATATTTTAGGAAACAGTAATTTTTTACATTTTTTTTTTAAGCAGGAAGTTTTCTGCTTCTTAACAGTTTCTCAATTGAAAAATTGAGCAATGCTTAACAGAAGATCAAGCAGAACTGTTTCAGTTCTCCCCTTTCCAAGACAGAAGAACGTAAATTAAACTGAAAATGCAGATTCTATTTTATATAAACATGTATATCCATATGAAAGTAAATTGTGTAAGGATTTTGTACCATACTGGAGTGAAAAGATGCTATAAGTAATTTCCCTGTGACTCGGTAACACTTTTGCACTTGAAAAATTTCTCTTTACGTTTTCTTGTCACTTTTGGTAGAAACTTCAGAAAATACTCCAGACTTTTCTCTTTTTTTCCCAAAGCCTTTTACTGGTTTCCTTACAGTTTTTACTTGATCAGTAATCTCAGGTTGTTGAGAATGCAGGTCAGGAAATCTTCCCCTTCTCAAGACAGCACTTAGCAAAGACTTACTTACATTTTTAGATAGGTACTAAATTCTTCTGAAGTATTCTTTTTCTCAGAAATAGACATAATGGGTTTATTAAGAGATAATACAGGTATATTAGGCATCTCTATTAAGATGTTAAGCACTGTAAAGTATTTGGCAGTGTCAGAAATCATGGGACAAAATATCTGAGGCTGCTGAAGAAAGGTCTGTCTTCTTATGTTGGTTCATCCAAGAAAAAGAATTTGTTGTCCAGTGGTGAATAATCTGCATTATCAAATACGTCCCATTCCTGACAGGCGCCGGGTGCCCTTCATTTCCTTTTGAAGCCAAAAGGTACTCAACATGTTGCAGCTCAGGCCGTGATGAATACTAATGTCTTGATATCTGGTAGATCATTAGTTCTTATTTGTAAAATGGAAACAAAATTACTTTTGACCTGTAGAGCTAAGTCAAAAGTTTAATCCATGTCCATTTCCGATTTGGTGTGTTAATTGCTCCCCATCCTAATTGTGTATAGGACAATAGTTTCTGTTCGTTTCAGAGGCAAATTAAACTGTAGGTGATGCTTTGCATTCAAAATTTTGTTCTATTTGTTCTGCTTACAAGTGAGTTTCAAGTCACTGGATGTGTCTTCGTGGGTTCTGTTTAAAAAAAAAAAAAATCAGTATTTCAATTTTTTTTTTTTTTTTTACTCAATGCATTCATTCTACCCAAAACTAGTGGGACGTGATATGCTTTATGATACACAGAGGATAAAAATAATTTTATGCATTTTTCAGTTACTCAAGTATTAGTATTCTTGGCAGCTCCGAATAGGGGGGAAAAAATGCCAGCATGAAATTAATAGCTGTTTTTGTTTCTGTTATAGCTACACTGTACACATCCTGCATTTTGTTGGGTATATTCCTCAACAGCAGCGTGCCAATATTCTTTGAGCTCTTTGTGGAGACAGTCTACCCTGTTCCAGAAGGAATTACCTGCGGAGTTGTCACCTTTTTGAGTAATGTGTTTATGGGAGTGCTTTTGTTTTTCCTCACATTTTACCATACAGGTAAGAAATATAAGCTACTTTGAAAATATAATTCTGCATGAAGACATACCTTTGTCAGGAAAGGGAGGTTTGTACATACAATTTCTGTTAATAATCAAATATTTGAATCCCCCTAGGTAGCAGCAGGGGAAAAGAACTTTAATTGTTCTTTTCTGTATGCGGGCTAATAAAAATGAAATGCTTTAGTGCGAGATGTATATAGTCATATTCCACTTAAAACTTGCTGTAGCCAGAAACCATCAAGATAACACACTGTCATCGTATTTTTGTAAAGGCCTGGGTAACGTGACCATTAATAATGTTTGTATCTATGGGTGTTCAAAACCACAGTCAAGCTAATCCAGTCTCATGCTTCGGGGTATCACTGTATTTGCCCAGGAGGGGCAGAGCAGAAACGTCCCATTTATGGTCAGCTCTGCTCAGTGGGTTGGACATACCATTGCAGGGGAGAGAGCATCTCTTGACCACTGCTCAAAGACAAAATATTCATTCCTTTAGATTAATCCGATGGCTTAATTGGACACAGCGGTGTTTTGCTTGATATTTTCATCAAGTTCTTCAGACTCTCATCTCTCACGTATTGTTTGATTCCTCATAATTCATCATTGTAACTTTCAACTTGCTATTTAGGAGACTAGAATGTATACTATTGCTCTAAGCTGTAAAATAAGAACCCATCTTGCTTTCAAAGAGAAGTGGTCTTTATTAATGATTTTCAAAGATGCAGATTTTTGGTTTGTATTTTGTTGTTGCAGTAAACGTCTGCTTTATGACACAAAATTTGTAAAGCAGTGTTTTGCTTTGGAAGCATTAGAAATTGGGAGCTTTTATATACTATCATGAGTGCATGTACTTCTTAAGATGGTGTTTTTTATAATGAAGAGGAGGCTGACAAATTTCAGAATGAGTTGTGCTTGAAAGTGTGAAGGTTACAGCCAGGTGCAAATTTTCAGCATGATTTGTGTGTCTTTCTGCCAGGGAATCACAAGCAGGTTGACAACCCCATTCCAAATTGTGGTCTGTGAACACAAACTGAAAGAAATGATTTTAATTTTTTCAGTGGTGGTTTTTTTTTAATACTAACACTGAACTACATTGTAAAACCTGAATTCCATCCCTGCTAGCCTCGGGTGGCATGATATTTAGTCTTTACATTTGAAAGAATGCTTTTATGATTAATATTAATTGGTGTGAACTCTGTTCACATATACTATTATTTCTAACATTTACAGTTGAGCTGAAAACATTATGCAGAATATTCTGAGAATTTTTCAGCATTTTTCAGAGTAACAGTCCAGCATTCAGAATTACTTTAAAATTGACAATGGGGATACAGTGTCTGAAGAATTATGATAAAGTGAGTTCTTCTGACTGAAGAATTATGATAAAGTGAACTCGTTCCCTCATAAATAGGGTATTTGTGGCCCTTTTTTTGTCTCTCGTGTTTCTTTCCCTAGCAGGTATCCGTAAATCCAGGTAAGGATAAACCTGAAATTAGTATATTCATACACTTGGAACATTTTGCCTATTTCCTCAAAGCAAGGGGGAAGTGATTTATGCTTAGGACGATCCGTTCTCCGTGATGCAGTTTCACAAATGATCAAACGTACAAGAGCGCATGTGGTCACGGGGAGGGGGGGAATCAATGCCAGTGGGTGCTATCGGCTCCTTTGATAAAAAAATCGTTTGGAAGGTAGATAACGATCTTAAACATTTGCCTTTCATTTGATTCAAATACATTGTCTAATGGCATTTAAGAAGCTTACAGATAAACCAGAACTCAGTCAAATTCATCTTGTGCCCTCAGTCTTGCTTTTTAGGCCAGATAATCTTTAGTGGTTTTAGTTCAGATTTCTCTCTTTTTCTCCTCATACTCTGATATTGCAAAGGCTGTGAAAGAGCCAAGCCCTGGAAACTTTCCAGTGTATTGAAGATTTTGGTCCAGCTAGCACAGTGGAGTGTGCCATACTGTGCAACCTGCTGTAGGTGACCCTGCTCGGGCAGGGGGGTTGGACTAGGTGATCTCCAGAGGTCCCTTCCAACCCTGACCATTCTGTGAGATGTAAAACTTTCCAAAGCTTAGCCCAGCTGAGCTAGCGCTGCACCCCGAGACCCAAAGCTGCAGCCTCTGGATGTTTTATAAAGAAAATAATAGCAAAGCATCTACCTGGCATCACATAACATGGTCTTCCCCAAGCCTAGAAAAATTTCCCTGAGGTTTTAATAAGATTGCTGCCTAAATAAATCTGTAAGGGTTTTTGGTGGATGACAGAGGGTGTCGTTGAACCTTACTGGCTCTGGAAGCTTGATTATTTTTTTTTTTAGGCTTTCTGAGTTTTGTCCTTTGCATTGTGTAATATAAATTGTGTTTTTTCTTTTAGCAATATAAATTACAAATTTAAGAAAGTAACAGTGCTGAAGTCTTGATTAACTCAGACCTTGAGGGAGAGTTTAAAAATAAATAATAAAGGAAATTTAAAAAAAACAAAACAAAACACAATCTCCAGTAAAATTAATGTTTCTTCGGTAAGTTGAAAGATTTACAAAAGAAGAAATTGTGGTGCACTTTTTTTAAAGGAAAAAAAAAAACTGAATAAAACTGCTGATTAGTAGTCAAATGTCAGATGATAGGATTTCTTGAATGTGGCACACAGATTTTTAAGAGCGATATATTATGTCTAACAGCTATAAAGAGGCTTCTGAGGAGCCATTTGTGCAACTAGTTTTAAATTGAATCGATCGTACTACTTACAAGTTTCTTCTGAGGAATTGGTTTTCCCCTCTCAAACCGTGTAGCGGGTTTGATTCAAAATCAAATCCTGCTTCTTCTTACACTTTTAATTTGTTTTAGTTTGCACTCCATAGAAATCAAAGAACTAATGAGTAGAATCTTCAGAAGTGGTTTATTCTCCATTAGCAATGATAGATTATTCTTTTTCTTGATGTTTTCTCCATTGACAAGTTGAATAAGGAGGATTGACGTTAGCTGGAGGCATTGGTGTTTTTTATATATATATATGTATAAAACCTTTATACATAAGGCATCCATTGATAAGTCTCATAGACCACGTTAACCATCTCTTGGTTGAGAGCTGTCAGGATTTTGTTCAGAACACAGCAATTTCTTTCATACCTGCCATTAATCAAAGTTGTGGCCCCTTTAAACATGGAGCACGTTTGATAACTCTGAGGTTGGGTGTGTTTTGTGCTTTACAGAGTTTTCCTGGTTCAACTGGTGCCTGCCAGGATCGTGTCTGCTCAGCCTGCTCCTCATCCTCTGCTTCCGCGAGTCCTATGACAGACTCTATCTTGACGTCGTCGTCTCTGTGTGATAACGCCGGACTGGTGAGAGGTTGGAAGAGACTGGAAGTCAGCTTTGCAGTCTGCACACCTGCCTGGATTTGCACGGCTGAACAGCGGAAAAACAAAGACATTACAAGACTTAATTGCGGCTTTATTAGGGAGGGTGAGGGACAGGCTGTTCTTACATTCAAGACCACCTTTGATTTGCGATAAACGTGGAACTTGAGTGGTGATAATGATGCCGAAATGCACAAAGAGAATATATATGATGTACAGGTCCCGGTGCCAGAGCTGGGGCTCTCTATTTAAAAGGCTGTTGATGTAGCAGTGAGGTGTGCAGTTGTGTGGGCGTGCGTGTGTGTGCGTGTGTGCCAACTCAAGGTTGTACACACCGGGGTACCAGTAATCTTCAGAGTCTTCTATCAGAATAGAAATAGTGAATAATCTTAACAAAAGGAAAAAAAAAGAAAAAGATAAAATGAGAAAAAAAATCTTTTTTTTTTTTTAAATCTCTCTTTTAAATCACTAGTCATTTATATAATGGATGTCCATTAAACAGTTAAGCTAAAACAATTTGGTGCTTGTACACTACATTTACGTTCTAATAAAGTGATTTCTGATATAAGACACTGGTACCAGGGTTTTTAGCCATACTAAATATCCCAAACAATCCTCTCAGTGTTGTTAGAGGTGTGTGTTATCACCCTGGAGCACATGTAAACGATAGCGTTAGCTGCCACTGAAACCCAACTTGCACCCGCAGTCGCCTCTGAAGTACCACTGTGGCTCTGTATCTCCTGAACACAGAGCATCTGTGGTGTCTCAGAAGTTTACTGGAGTGTCACTTTTGGTAAATGTTGCTGTTTTTAAATGCCACCACTGTGTCACCTTTTCATCCCCCGTCTCCAGTACTGCCTCTTTTACTGTGAAGACCTGTTTGTACCACTGAATACCGTGGGTGTGGATATCCAAGTCCCACTAGTTCTCTTCTGATACTCTAAGGTGTGCGTGGTTTTTAGGATTAGTTTATGACTGAGGGTGCCTAAACAATATTGTTTGTTAACTCAAGTCTAAAATCACCGTTTCCTAAAAAAAAATAATAAAATCTTTCTAGTTGATGAGGTGCCCTGATAGCGAAACGACAATGAGTTTGACAATGAGAAATAACTCATGAGTTTTGGCATAGTATGGGAAATATCATGCCAACTCTTTTTATCAGTACTAATCTGTGGTCGTTCTGGCCCTTACTTGAACATAAATATTAAAGACACTTTGAATAGTTTTTTAACTCAATTTTAAACCTGCTAATAATTTCTTAATTACATTCTTAGATTTCAGTTCAGAATCATTTACAGTATTTCCATGTGTGTGTTCTGTGCTTTGTGTTAGGGGTGTGTGTTTGTGTGTGTGCGTGCATGTGTATTTATAGCTATGTATACACAAATAAAACTTATATATATCTTTTATATATAAGTTATATAAGGGTATGTGTTTACATAGGTTTATTTTAAGTACTCATGTCTTGGGCTGGTGGTATGCCACTGTTAGTAACTAAACCAGTCGCTGCTGTGAATGGAAATGCATACATACGCTGTCTGTGACATGAATTTTTTTCAGGGGGTGAATGGTTTCCTACCGTGGCAATTTTATCGCAGGGGGTGCCGTCACGTGTTGGGGGCGGCTGGTGTGGGGGGTTCTGCGTCCGTAGAAGTCTGAATCAAACGCCCTTTACTCCCACGCGGGGCTCTTCTCCGCCACCCTGGGGTGACACCGACACTGTAAACCCACTCGAATAAACCCTGAACTGAGCGCTGCCTTTCAGACACGGATCTCTTCGTTCTGTCTGCTCTCCTTTTGCAGAGAGAATATGCCACTAATACCTTTGACTCAGGAGTGTATCTGTGCAGTAAAATAAAACACGCTGTTCCCTGCTTTTATGTTTTCAGAGCAATGGATGTATTTACTGCAGTAACAGAAAATTGACTTAGCTCATTGCCTATATTGCCTATATTAGCTACTAAATGATCTTTTCTGTTGAAGCAGGCTCTTTGTACAAATGGAGCTAACCTACATTGGGATAACTAAATCAATCTAACCAGTGCATTCAGAACCGCTGGCATCATCCTCTTACTGTTTTTCAGATGAACGGTATTAACTGTCCAACTCTTTTTACTATGTTTTAGTGCCTGGAATAGTTTGAATATCCAGTAGCTGCTGCTACCTATTGTCTTCTGAAACCAAGGATCGCTTGCCAAGAGTCTGATTGGAGTTGCATTGTCATGGTAGAATTGCAAGCTCAGATGGCTCTTCGGAGCTCTGCTTCTGCAATTTACTGTAGCTATATTAAGATTAAAATTGCATAGTTCAGGCACTGTCCCGAGTGACAGAGATTTCTAATCCTTTCACTGTCCTGACTATTTTAAGATCGAGAAGCTCTTCAGGCAGTATTCAGACTATAACCTATTCTGCCTCTGCTCCAGAAAGCATCGAACAACTCAAAATATTTGTCAGTGCTGCCAGATGCAGACTCTCCCTACAGTCAAGGGAGAAGAGTGAGCATCTTATTTCAAGCCCGGTTGATTGTTTTTCTGAGTCAGTGTGAATTGCTCGCTGCTCTCCTGAACTTTGATACTTTGGTAAAAGTTAATGTGTGTCTGTCTCGGGCGCTGTAGTGTATGGTCTTAATTACAGCCCTCGGTGCCTTTGCACCTAAATAGAGGCGTTATCCAGAGGTGAGCAGCACGGCAGAGCTCTGCTGGAGACCTGCACCAGGGTTGCGGGCAGCGTTCTGCAGTTGGGGCTCAAGCAGAGTTCCCAGCGAGTCTGATGGAAATTCGCCTGAGTGAAAACCAAAGGATCGCTCCCAGATTACTTGAAGTTGTGCAGGACGCTGCTGCACTCCACACACACCATGTTCAGGCTTTAGGATTTTATTAGGTTAGCAAGTCTGGCTGGGGATGGAGGTAGGGGTTGCAAATGTGCTTGCTGAGATCTCTGAAAAATGTTTTATTCTCTGCGCGCAGCAGCAGCATCCTTCTCCGGAGGAGCAGTCCAGTTCATGCCAGCAACCCAGCTGAACCTATGGGAATATTTTTTGGATATGGGTTATCACTAGGTCCACCTTCGGATTTACCGAGGGTCTGAGCTGTCAGGTGAACCACACTTTATTGGAAGTTGGAGCTTGAGACTGCAGGGAGAGCTCTAAGCAATGCTGATCTGATTAGCAGTAGCGCAGAACAGGCTCAAAACAGTTAATATTTCTCTTATTAATTACTTAAAGTTCTAAATCTCACTATAACTTCCAAGTCATCGACAGTGGGGGTTTTTGTCTAAATTGCCTTGCACTGCCGCAGAGTAGCTGATGTTGGCTGCTGCTTGGCCTTTGACTTGCTCTGAAGAACATGTTTTTTTCCCAGCAGCGCGGAGTCCCCTAAAATGCAAATAATTATTCTAAGTTTTATATTGAAAATTATAGGAAGGATGCTCTGTAGTGGCGCCTCTCTCTTGGTAGTTCTTCGTTTTAAGTATGGGCTGCTCCTCAGGTTTCTGCTTGGCTCCGGCGGCTTTCTTCTTGCGAGCCATGGAGCTGTGCTCGCTTTCATGCTGCTAGGGAGGAAGCTCGGGGTTAGTAGTCGAAGGCTCCTCTTACGGCGCTCTTTACTGTTTCTCTTCACTGCATCAGTTTTCTTTTGGTTCCTTTGCCTTCCCGTATGACCGCCTGCTCTGCTGAGCTGGAGTCCGTGCTGGAGGCATGGAGAAGAGCTTCCATGTTGCCAAGCCAATTTTAGAGGGATGGGTTGGCCGACCATCTCCTTAATGTGCATTAAAATAGTGTTATTTAGAAAATCATGCAAGACATTTTTAGAAATTCATGCACCTGAAGCAAGTGCAGACCCAAAGGATTTTGCACATAAGTGAGCAGATAGTCTGTTACGAGCAGATTATAATTTGCCTGAAACTTGTCATTTTAGTCCCCGCACCTAGAGAGGCAAAGCCGATGGGAACCATGCGTGTTAGGTATTCAGGTTCACAGCATCATGGAGTTATTCCCACTCATCTGACAGAGGTGAAATGAATGGGAGTGGGACATCTGTAATCTGGGAGTGGGTTGGAAAACCCGTGGCTGCATCAGTGTTTGCACCGGTACCTCCGGGAAGTGCTGGGCTGATGGACTGAGTGAGGGGATGGAGGTTTCCAGGGGGCATTTCAACACTGAAATGCTGCGTTGAGGTCATCAAATCCATATAAAATTCAAAGTTTTATGCTGACAGGGATGTTAATGCCTGGCTTGTTCTACAGTACGCTTAGCAAGGGACTACGTAGCCTGACACTAATATAAACAAGCTGAATTGATTGATAGGCATATATTGGCTGTTAGTGGAAAGGGAAGTGCTGCTTAATTGTGAGGATTGACTGAAATATGAATGGGAATTAGACAGTTTGCACAGTGGAATATAACTGTCCTATCATGCTATGACAGCAGGGTTTTAACTTTTCATCTTCATTTCTTCTGTTGGGTCAAATATTAATAATTATCTGTGACAAAGGTGTTTTTATGTTTCATTAGTTTTTTGGGGGGCTTCTTTTAGACTGAGTTTGGATCATTGTAATAATTTGGCAAGACCACTGCTACCCTTGCGTGAAAGCATACATTAGTGTTTGGGATCAATTCAGTATTCGATGTTGGTGCCACCATTCTCAGTGTTGTCGAAGCGCCAGGCTTGGGGAGCATGTGCGAGGAGGCAGTGGCGCTCCTGGATACACCGTTGTGCAAGGGTAGATGCTGACCCTGCCAAAACGAACAAGAGCTTCATCATCTTCCATGGGTCCAGGATGTGGTCCCAGCATCGGGGCTGGGAGGAGGAAGGGAGTGCATGTAGGGGGGAAAAAGCCTTGCTGTGGTTGCTGCCTCCTTTCCGATGGAGCGACAGCCTGCAGGCTTACCGTTTCGGGTGTGAGACATCATAAGCATCAACAGAGGCTTTGCTCGTTTCCCTGCAGCCGTGACTGCTGCGAGGTGGGTCGTAGGTGGCACGGGAGTATCTGCCTTGCTTCCTCCAGGAGCGTCATTTCAGACAGCAGAGAATTGCCGCAGAGCAGGCGGCAGCCCCAGTGAAGTCAGAAGATGGTGTCAATCTGCTTGTGATTTTTGCAGTTGGTGTTTCAAGACAGATGAAACCAATAAATAGAGGAAGAAATGTAATGCTGTCCAAAGTTTTGACAAGCAAAAGCAAATATTTGCACAGATGTGTTGGCTTCTGCCTTTTACTTGGGATGGCAACGTGTTTGGAGCAATCGGTGCCCGCCTGGAGCGTGGACCCCCTCCTGT